ACAGGAAATGAGGTACAGAAATCTATCCTGCTCTACAGGAAAATAGAAGGGGAAAGGGATGAGAGAAGGGGGGGTGAGAGATAGAAGGGAGGGCAGACTAGTGGAATGAATGCCATCTTGGGGTGGGGGGAAGGGCAAGATGGGGTGAAAATATGGAATTCAAAATCTTGTGGCAGTAAATGTTGCAAACTAAAAAGAAATAAATAAATAAATACATATATACATATATATATACATATATATACATATATATACATATATATACATATACATATATATATATATATATACATATATTTAAAGAAAATATCAAGGAAAACTGTCCTGTTATTCTAGAAGCAGAGGAAAAAATAGAAATTGAAAGAATACACTGTTTACCTTCTGAAAGAGATCCCCAAGGGAAAACTCCTAGGAATATTACAGCCAAATTCCAGAATTCCCAGGCCAAGGAGAAAACATTGCAAGTAGCCAGAAAGAAAAAATTCAAGCATTATGGAAATACAATCAGGATAACACAAGACTTAGCAGCTTCAAATGATGGAATATGATATTCTGGAGGTCAAAGGAACTAGGATTACATCCAAGAATCACCTACCCAACAAGACTGAGTATAATCCTTCAAGGGGAAATTAGGCATTCAGTGAAATAGAGGACTTTCAAGCATTCTTGATGAGAAGACCAGAGCTCAAAAGAAAATTTGACTTTCAAATATTGGACTCAAGAGAAGCATGAAGAGGTAAACAGGATAGAGAAAACATAAAGGACTTATTAAAATTGAACTGTTCACCTTCCTAAAAAAGACAGAAAAACAACACTAAATCTCTTAAATATTAATCTATTATATAACAGATTTAGCACTGTATTTACAAAAGTTCTTCATTATACAAATTTGCTATAAAAGGAAAAAGAGAGACACAGTTGGAAAAATGTCCTATATCATAACAGAAGGAGAATATTCCCTCAGCTACATTTGATTCCAGGCATGAGTCATATCTCACAGCTAATCATATAGTCACAAGGTGTTAAAACAAGGCTCAGAATGAACCAGTCGGAAATTTTCCTTTTCAGAACAGAAATAGAACAATGAGGGAAAAGAGTCAGGAGGATCCTACCAAGGCCCTGCCACCATCATCCCTAAAACTTTTCCCTGGTACAGACATTCTCCTTTAGCAGTTCCAGGACTACAGAACCTGCCTTTTTCTACCATTACCTTCAGGACAATTCAGACAACTATCCCTGTAATCAAAGCTTAAAACAATAGTAAATTACACTCCTTAGAATTTTTACCTGAAATAGCAACATTTTACTAACCACAACTTAAGGCCTGAATATCCTTCCCTCTGTTTCCCTAACAATTATTGTTTCATTTATCCTTTATGTGGTTCGGGGATTATGCAGTCATAAAGCAAGGAAGTTCCCCTGACCTAGGATAGCTGTGCAAGCTTTATCTGATCTTCTGGTTGCTGACACAGCAGGAAAATTTCAAATTCACTCAGAGACCATCCCAGCAGAAACTTGGCATCTCAGTCCAGAAAGGCTTAAATCATCTTCTCTGAATGGCCAGTCCACATTTTTGGCCTTCAGCGGGTAATGAAGGGCTCAAGCAGGTCTCACATCCTATACACCACATCTAAGCTCAGCAAACTCTAGGGCATCCCACAGCCTTCAGGGAGTCAGAAGGCAATAACACCCCAAGGCACAGGTGACAATTCCTGATCTTATTCTTCTCCACACTCAACATTCCCATCTGCCACCTCCATGACTTTGTACTGGATAGCCCCCAGGCAGGCCCTCCCCTCTACCTTTCAGAATCCTCAGGGTCTTTCAATTCTAGACTTCTACCCGAGAAGGTGGCATCATCTTCTCCCTGAAAATTCCTTCATATTTATTTTGCAGATGCTTAGATAAGAATATGTTGAATATCCTAGTGCAATGTATCCATAAAGTCTACCACAGAGGAATCTTGTAATCAATTGCTTTTTGTGTAAGTGATTGACAGATTAATTGATTGATTGACAAGTCATACTTAACAAAGGATTGTCAAGTCCTGACATCAATTAAAGCCACAAGTACAGAAATAAAGAATCTTTAACGGAGATCCTAGGGTAGCAAGCATGCCACCCCAGGGGATGTCCCATGAGTACAGGGCAAAAAGGATTTCCCAATCTTGAGATCTATGAAAACTACTTTTGCCTTTAGGAAGGAAGAGGAAATGCTAGCAAACCCCTTGTCATGAGATGCCAGCCAACCAGCAAGGAAAACCACTTCTTTGTGGCTGTTTTGTCCTTCATGACACAAATCCTTACACATGGGGTAAGAATATCAGGGGCCAGCCTGGCTCAAGTTGGTTTTGTCTAAAGGGAAAGATTCCAAGGTGGGGGCTGGTTGTTGTTGTTTGTTGTTTATCCTTCTTTCTGGAAGAGCATCAGTGACAACAGGAAGGGGATGTCTTGACTTGCCAGTGAATTGGATTTAAGTGAGGCAGGGGCTGTGCAAAGACATCAGCCTCACTCTCTCCCTCTGACCCATCAGAGGCCTGTGGTAAGAAATAGGTCAAGATGATATTCAAGATGGTCCCAGATGTAGTGGGAGAGACGTGTTTCCCAGGCCTCAGTTTTTCATTTCTCTTTCTCAGGTTTTAAGAACCACTTACACTCATCCTGACCTATGTCTCGCCACTGGACCCCCATTGTTCTGGAGAAAAGAGTGAGACTGGTGACTTTGCACAGCCCTGCCTCACTTGAATACAGTTCACTGGCAAGTCAAGACATCACCTTCCCGATTTCATTGATCCCCTTGAAGAATAAGGGAAAAATCAGATGTAAATAACTGCAAAAATATCAGCTGCTCAGGGGTATGCATGGCTAATGTAATCAAAATGACAACTCTACACAAATGATTTTACTTATTGAGTGCCATTCCAAACTACCAAAAATTGTTTCATAGACTAATAAAAATAATAATTTTGTTCTGAAAGAACAAAAGATCAGAACATCAAATGAATTAAATGAAATGCAATGGAAGGTGGCCTAAGTGTACCAGATCTACAACTATTAAAAAGTAGCAATCATCAAAACTACTTGGTACTGCCAAAGAAATAGAGTGGTAGATCACTGGAATCCATTAAGTACACAACACACAGTATTCAATGACTATAGTGATCTACGATTTGATAAACTCAAAGAGTCCGGCTTTTAGGATGAGAACTTACTATTTAACCAAAGCCCCTGGGAAAATAAAAATAGTATGGCAGAACTTAGGCACAGACAAACATCTTACACACCATATCAAGATAGAGTCAAAATGGGTACACGATTTAGTTATAAAGACTGATATTATAAGCAATTAGGAGACCAAGGAATAGTTTACCTGTCAGATCTATGGAGCAGGGAAGAACTTATGACAAAACAAGGAAAAGAGATTGTTATGAAATGCAAAATGGTGATTGTGATTATATTAATTTAAAAGTTTTGCACAAACAAACCTATAAAACCAAGATTGGAAAGGAAGCAGAAAGCTGGGAAATAGTTTTTACAGCCAGTATCTCTGATAAAGGCCTCATTTCTAAAATGCAGACAGAACTGAGAGAAATTTATATGACGACAAGTCATTCCCCAATTGACAAATGGTCAAAGGATAGGAACAGGCAGTTTCCAGATGCAGAAATTAAAGCTATCTATAGTCACATGAAAAAAAAATGCTCTTAATCACTATCGATTAGAGAAATGCACATTAAAAAACTCTTAGGTACCATCTCACACCTGTTGTATTAGTTAACATGACAGAAGAGGAAAATTATAAACGCTGGAGAAGATGTGTAAAACTTAGAACACTAATGCATTGATGGTGGAGCAGTAAGCAGGTGCAAAAATGCAGAACTTAAAATCTTATGACAGTGAATGTTGAAAACTAAAAGTAAATGTACTTTTTAAAAAGAATGTACTACAAACAACAATGTGTGAGGAGTAGTAGCTGCCCCACTGGGGACCCAACTGTTCAGTTCCACTTGGGCAATGCTCCTTCCTTCTCTCTTTCCTTCCTCATTTCTTCCATATGATGAGTCATATACTTAGAAATGGGTGCTCGGACCTTCATGCCCTGAATTCCAAGAGAAGGTGTCAGAAAGTCAGGCGATGACCTGGGTCCAGCTGCTTTGGTCTACAGGGAAAGATTCCAAGATGGGGGCTTGTCATTAATGTTTGTTATTTATCCTTCTTTCTGCAAGACGACCAATGACATCAGGAGGGGATGAGTTGACTTCCAAGTGAACTGGACCTAAGTGAGGCAGGGCTGTGCCAAGACATTAGGGGAGGGAAGGATAAGGTGTACTTTAATAGAAAAAAGCAACTGAATAACCATTTTCCTGCTTTTGGCCTCAGTTTCCCCATCTACAAAAAAAAAAAGTTACGACCAGCATTCTTTTTTTTTCTTTTTAACTTTCAGAAAGATATAAGAGAAACACAGAAGAGAAGAATAAACATTTCTCCTCAACAATGCAATGGACATATTCTCCTTACAACACCTAGTAGACCATAGAATCTCCAAATCCCCCTCTCCAACACACACACACACACACACACACACAGACACACACACACACACGCACACACACACACACACACACACACACACACACACACACACACACACGGGTTTCCATTCCATCTAAGCCTGGGCCCTTAACTCTCTATAAATTTTGTTACTTCCCTGGTCTTAGTTTTCTTTCTAACTCAGCTCCTTCCTCTCTTTCTTCATTCTGTTCTTTGCATAGATCCTTGTCAACTCTTGGTCTCTAGACCCAGAGCTTTCAGATCTCTCCTGGGAAGGTAGACAGGCTTTACCTGCTTATAACCACAACTGGCCACCTGCCACAGCCACCACCATGTCCAGCCTAAGGCAGGTGCATTTAAAACAGCAATAACAACAGAGGCCATGGGAGGTGAAGCCTTCCAGGAAACACAATTGGGCCATTCCCTCCAATGTGAATATAACCACTCCTGGGGTCCTTCACTTCAAGCAGTGCCACCACTGTTTTGCATGGTGATATCCAAGGCACCTTCTCAAACCCAGCCTGAGATACAAATATCTCCCATCTGTCTCCCTCTGAGCTCAGAGCTCTCTGCCTCCAGCTCTGCCAGGGTCACAATGCTCTCCCACTCCTTGCTCCTGTGCATCCTACTGCTCTGGCCTCAAGGTAAGACTTCCAATGACCCATAGTTTGGCATCACTTTAAAAACAGGAGTTTCCAGCGGGCATCTCTGACACAGCCTGAGGGTAAGGGAACTCCCTCCTGCATTCACTGTCTCTACACAGGATGCTTCATTTACTTCAATCTCTTTCTTCTTCTCCTTTAGAATCCCAGGCAGCCATTGAGCTGACCCACTCCCCAGACTCCCTGTCTGTGGCTGCAGGAGATCAAGTCACCATCAACTGCAAGGCCAGTTCCAGCATTAGCAAGTACATGGCCTGGTACCAGCAGAAACCAGGACAGTCTCCCAGGCTCCTGATCTATTATGCTTCCACCCTGCAGTCTGGGGTCCCTGCCCCGTTCAGTGGCAGTGGCTCTGGGACAGATTTCACCCTGACCATCAGTGCAGTGGAGGCGGGGGACGTGGCAGATTACTACTGTTTTCATTATTATGGTACTCCATTCCCATAGTGTTTCAGCCCTGAACAAAAACCTCCCCAAGCTGCTCAGCCCTTCAGCAGAGGGCAGCAGCTGTTTCCCCCAGAGTCACAGGCTTGGGGCAACCACTGCCCTCAGGGGAGAATTGGGCCCACTTCTGCCCTGCTGCAGGAGCCATTTGTCAAAGGGATGCTGGTAGAGGTAGAAAGAGTAAGAAGAGAGAGAAAAAGGAGGAAGAAAAAGAATCTTCTGCCTGGTATGCTTTGCTAAGGCCCACAAACTTTGCCATGGGAGCTGCTTCCAGGAGCTGGTCTCATTCTCTCACTGCCCTCATAAGTGAAGACAATGTGATATACACGGATCCACAGGAGGGAGGTCTTTCCCAGCTCTGTTTTTCATTTCTCTTTCTCAGGTCTCAGAGGCCATCTCCAGTCAAACTGATCTATATCTTGCTACTGGACTGAGATGGCTGTACAGAAGAGTGAGGCTAGTGACTTTGCACAGCCCTGCCTCACTTATATCCAATTCACTTGCAAGTCAAGACATCATTCCCCTTGTGTTATTGGTCTCTTCAAGAGTGTAGGATGAACAACAATCTGTGAGAAGGAGTAACTGCCCCACTGGGGACCCAACTGTCCCGTTCCAGTGAGGCAACACTCATTCTTTCCTTCCTCCCTCCATTCCTTCCTTCCTCCCCATGGAGAATCATACACTTGCATTTAGGGCCATTGACCAAAAGAATATAAATTGTTTGAAACTGAGCCCTGGAAGGCTTTCATTAAGCTCATTGAGATTCAAATGGAGCTGCTTCAAATATACCTTAAATCCAGATCACTCTGGCTCTCACTGATTGGCTAATATTAAGTCCCAGCCCAGGTCTCTGGGTCACTGTTTGAGTTTTGATGGCTCAAAGGGACTGTAAATAGCAATTGTTCCTGCTCTGGACAGAAACTCTGAGGCTTTTCCCCTCCCAAAGTATTTTGAGTCTAGATCTCCCCATCTCACCTGGCTGAAAATACAACAGCTGCTCACAGGCTGGGTCTCACAGTTGATTGGCTTGGAAACTTTGATATGCTCTCTTTCTGATCTGGGCCAGTTGGCATATTTTGAGGTAGCCTCCCAGGGGAAGAGACCAGGGCTTCTGTTGGTGCCAGACTTATTCTGGACATGTGATCGGCCTTGGCCCAGCTGCTGCTCCTAACTTCTCAGCTCAAGCAATGCACCAGCCTTGGCCTCCATGGTAGCTGGGATGACAGGCTTGGGTACCACGCATGGCTTAGGTACCTGGCCTAGTGTTGTTATTACTCAATCACTTCTTCTCCTGGTGTTTTCATGTCACTTTGCATCAGTCCATGATGATAACCTCCTCCAGGTTCTCTGAAACCAGCTCTTTCACTGTGCACTACTATTGTAGACCATAATTAAGTCAGCCATTCTCCAACTGTTTTCTTTAAGATGTCAGACTTAGGCTTAAATTTTAAACTAGTATTGTCCTTATCAGCCAAATCCATGAATTATGGATTCTTCTTGTTGTTCAGTCATTTTTGTCATGTGTGACTCTTAATGATGCCACTTGGGGTTTTCTTGGCAAAAATACTAAAGAGGTTTACCATTTCCTTCTCCAGTTCACTTTACAAATGAGAAAACTGAAGAAAATAGGGTTCAGTGACTTCCCCACAGTCACCAAGAAATTAAGTGTCTCAGGCTGTATTTGAACTCAGGTCTTCCTGAGTCCAGGGCCAGTGACCTATCTACTACAAAACAAAGGCCCTGGGGCAGAGTCAAGATGGAGGAGTGAAAGCAATGACTTACTTGAGCTCTACCCCAAGCCCCTCCAAATACCTATAAAAATGGTTCTACACAAATTCTGAAGCAGCAGAACCCAGAAAAAGACAGAGTGAACCAAATTTCCAGCCCAAGATTCTGGATGATTGATCAGAAAGGTATATGGCGCTGGGTTGATAGAGGAGCACAGTGCAGCGTGGGCGCGCAGGCAACAGTGAACCTGGAGCAGGCCTCAGAGGACTGAATCACAGACAGCTGTGATGGTTTCCAGACCTCTCAACCCACAAACACCAAAGACAACTTAAAAGGTCAGTGGGAAAAATCTGTTTCTGTGGTTAGAGAAGAGCTAGGTCAGAGCCAGTTCCAGAGAGCAGAGTGTGGGGTGCGGGGGCAGTGGCTGCGTCCTGAGCTTCTGGCCCACGGACTGAGGGGAATCCAGTGGCTGATCAGAGAAGGATTGCAGTGGCTGATCAGAGAGGGATTGCAGGGGTCTCTTTGCCAGAGCTGAGGCAGGAATTGCTTGCTTTGCCTATGCTTGTATCTGGGTCACAGTTCTGGGCAGTGGTCCTGGGGCGAGGAAGAGTGCTGGCGTGGTGGAGCTTGTACAGGCAGTACAGAAGAAACCTTCCTCACAGTTCCAGGACAGAAAGGAGTGATTGTTGTCACTAATACACCACAGCACAGGCCAGGAAAGGGGTGAACACCTCGCCCCTTTTCACACCACCTTGCAAGAACTGGAAATCTACAGGTCCCTACAAGTGTCTCTGAAAACAGTTCTAGAAACCCCCAAAGCTTGGGACAGTACATTCTCCACAGTGGAAACAGACTCTTACCTTAACAGACAGTTTAAAACTCAAGTAACTGGCTGGGATCATGAGCAAGTAGCACAAAAAGAGTCAGACTATATTGTCTTTCGTTGGTGACAAAGATCAAAATGGACAATCAGAAGAAGACAACAAAGTCAAAGCTCTTACATCCAAAGCCTCCAAGAAATATATAAATCAGTCCCAGGCCTTGGAAAAGCTCAAAAGGGATTTTGAGAAGCAAGTAAGAGAAGTAGAGGAAAACTGGGAAGAGAAATGAGAGTGATGCAAGAAAATCATGAAAAACAAGTCAACAGCTTGCTAAAGGAGACCCAAAATAATACTGAAGAAAACAACACCTTAAAAAATTGCCTAACCCAAATGGCAAAAATGGTCCAAAAAGCCAATGAAGAGAAGAATGCCCTAAAAAGAAAAATTTTCCAAATGGAGAAGGAAGTCCAAAAGTTTACTGAAGAAAATACTTCCATAAAAATTAGAATAGAGCAATTGGAATACGTGACTTTATGAGAAATCAAGACACTGTAAAACAAATCCAAAAGAATGAAAAAATAGAAGACAATGTGAAATATCTCATTGGAAAAACAACTGACCTGGAAAATAGATCCAGGAGAGAGAATTTAAAAATTATTGGACTATCTGAAAGCCATGATCAAAAAAAGAGCCTAGACATCATCTTTCAAGAAATTATCAAGGAAAACTGCCCTGATATTTAGAACCAGAGGGAAAATAGAAATTGAAAGAATCCACAATCTCCTCCTGAAAGAGATCCCCAAAGGAAAACTCCTAGGAATATTGTAGCCAAATTCCAGAGTTCCCAGGTCAAGGAAAATATTACAAGCTGCCAGAAAGAAACAATTCAAGTACTGTGGAAACACAATCAGGATAACACAAGATTTAGCAGCTTGTACATTAAGGGACCACAGGGCAGGGAATATAATATTCTGGAGGGCAAAGGAGATAGGATTACAACCAAGAATCACCTACCCAGCAAAACTGAGTATAATCCTTCAGGGAAAATGGTCATTCAGTGAAATAGAGGACTTTCAAGCATTCTTGATGAAAAGACCAGAGCTGAATAGAAAATTTGACTTTCAAATACAAACTGAAGTGGAATATGAAAAGGTAAAGAGAAATCATAAGAGACTTATTAAGGTTGAACTGTTTACATTCCTGCATGGAAAGATATAACTCATGAGACCTTTGTCAGTATTAGGTAGTTGGAGGGAAATTATATATAGATAGTTGATAGATAGATAGATAGATAGATAGATAGATAGATAGATAGATAGATAGATAGATAGATAGATAGATAGAGGGCACAGGGTAAGTTGAAGATTAAGGGGTCATATCTGGAGAATAAAATTAAGGATGAGAGGATTATACTAGGAGAAGAAGAAAGGGAGAGGTAGAAGGGTAAATTATCTCACAAAAAAAAACAAAAAAAAAGGCTCTTACTGGAGAGGAAACAGGGGAAGGTGAGAGGGAATGAGTGAATCTTATTCTCATAGGATTTGGCTTAAGGAGGGAATAATATACACATTGAATTGGGTATGAAAATCTGTCTTACCCTACAGGAAAATAGCAGAGGAAGGGGACAAGAGAGCAGGGGGATGATAGACAGAAGGGCAGATTGGGAAAGGGGGTAATCAGAAGCAAAAGAAAGAATAGAATGAATGAGGAGTAAGGATAGGATTGAGGGAAATACAGTTAGTTTTTCACCAACATGTCTTCTAAGGAAGTGTTTTCAATAACTGCACATGTATAACCTATATTGAGTTGCTTGCCTTTTCAATGTGGGTGGGTGGGGAGGGAGGAAAGGAGAAAATTTGGAACCTGAAGTTTTAAAAACATATGTTTAAAAACATGTTTTCACATGCAACTGGGAAATAAGAAATACAGGAAATGGCGTACAGAAGTCCATCATGCCCTAAAGGAAAATAGAATAGGGATGGGATGAGAGAAGGTTGGGAGAGACAGAAGAGAAGGCAGACTAAAGGAAGGGGTATTCAGAATGCATGCCATCTTGGGGTGGAGGGAGGGGCGAGATATGGTGAAAATTTAGAACTCAAAATCTTGTGGAAATAAGTGTTCAAAACTAACAATAAATAAATATATATTAAAAAAAAAAAACAAACCAAAAACGAAAACAAAGAGAAAAACCAAATGCCCTGATCCTGGAGTACCAGAATCCAAGGAGAAGCCCCAGATTTCCTCTTAAATAATGAGAGAACAGCTGAATAAAATGTGGTATATGAATATGATAAAACACTATTGAGGTGTAGGAGCTGATGAAAGAGGCTATTTCATACAATTCAGGGCAGTATGAACTGATGCAGGATAAAGTGAATTAACCCGGGACAACAATGTGCATAAGGACATCAGCATGGTCAAGGCAAACAACTCTGAACCATGTCTGTAGAGAAG